TTTCAGGCTGAGTTTTACACGAGGTCGACGGGTGTCTATTTTCAACATTTTGAAAATGTGAATTCGAGTTATGGAGGGTATTTTCATAAAATGACATTTTCGGTTAGTCAAGTTAACGGGGAAGGGGGTATTTGTCTCACGATCATAGTATAAGTGGGGGTCTTTGTCATAAAACAAAGTACAGGGGGTCTTTATCACAGACCCCATAGTACAGAGGGGTCTTTGTAATTTACCCTAAAGAGAAACAAGCACAGAAAATAAATAGATTTACGTGGTTCGACTTATAGCCTACATCCACCGGTGAAGGAGGAACAGAAATCCACTATGAAGTTGGTAATGGAGAAGAAATAAAGAGTTGTGCCCTCACAAAAAAACCCTAAGCCCCAAATACACTCAATGTCTCACCGTCTCTTACTAGACTAAGACTCTATCTACAAGAGAGAAAACCCTCAAAATACATAACTCTTCATATTCGGTTCAGACCTATAAGATGAATATGGATCGGGTCCATACCATTCCACCACAAACCACTCTGAAATTTTGCCTTTGGATTTTTCTCAAATTAATTCGGAGCACATTCATGAAGCGGGTCACCACAAAGAATTCAAGGCACAAACATAACAAAAATACGTTCCAACCCTTTAATAATATGGTCTTACACCACACATTTCATACATGACAAGTTCCACTTTTTACTTTTATGGTGGATCCCAATTTTATAGTGAGATGTGCGGTGTTAGATCAAGTTGATAGAGGGTTAGAATCGGTCTGGGAACTGTCTAGGCAATCGGTTCCATTTTACCCCAAACCCGGTCCCTGGCCAAAAACCATTGAATCGGTCAACAACCCGTTGACCCGGGTAGTCGAACTGCCGACCCGTTCAACAGTTTTTAGCCGTTTTTTTATTTTTTAATTTATTTTGTCAGAATGAGTCGTTTGTTCAGACCGAACGGTCGAACCATCGAATTGGAAATTAGTGGCTAGAATGGTTCTGGTTCCGGGTCATTTTTTAAAACATTAATAGAAATGACTAGAAGAGGGCTAGAATTTGAGACATGCATTTAACGATTCATGAGATAAAACCATAAAGGGGAAGGCAGAATAAAATAAAATGAAGTCCGATCTCGAAGATTCAATCCATTGAAGGCAGGAACGAAGAATGCAAGATTTGCTACATCCCTTTTGAAAAACTCAACATCCATTGCAACTCATCTCTTTTTGAATGATTGTTGGTTATTTTTCATTTGCTCTTTTAGTTTCGATACTGTAACAAGTAAGCTTACATAGTTTTGAACAACCTCTAGTTGTTCGGTCTTTCATTTTTGTCATAGGGTGACTCACACGTTGTCTCAGTGTGATTTCTGGAATAGTGGGTCCTTTTTATGGCTTTTTCGGTTGTTTTTCTGCTTTATGCTTTATCATGAAGATTTATATTTTTTATTTTTTATAACAACTTGCAAGTTGAGAGAGCTTGAAACAGGTAAAAATAACATGTTTCTTGAATAAACCTATATCAAAGGAGTATAAAACATTTGTCAATGATAGATTGTTTCTACAAATGCAAAATATTGAAGAAGATTGATCAGGACTCAACACCCCAATGTTTTAATTTGTTCAAATTTAGTTGATGGTGATACATTTGACCAACTCTGATGGTTTTAGTGGTACTAGTAATTAAGCACGTGAAAAATTTTTCTTCATGTTAATTACTTGAATTTTATACATATCATAGTTAAGCAAGAAATTAAAAAATTACAAAAGTAACAATATGATTAAAAATAAACTTAAATGTTTGTAGTAAATGCGCACGTGGATTGCATGTGGAAATTTTAAATTATAATAACAAATTATTATTATTATTATTATTATTATTATTATTATTATTATTATTATCATTAAACTTTGTATTCCATTTCTGCCATAAATAAAAATAATTTTTATTTTTAACAATTATTTTTATTTAATATGATGAATATATAACATTAGAAGTATTCTCAAATGTTTTTGACAAAATTCTATATTTTTTCATTTTTTGTGTTTCATATTTTTCTAAATATTTTTTATTCAATTATGACTTCATGAGTCTTTTGAAAAGTTGGATCATTGACCAGCCATGTAGATAAGAAAATACCTTTGGTTTTGAATCAATTTTAAATTATATATTTCATCTACATTATATAAATAATTGTACTTATCACACTTAATTTTTGTTTGACATAATTAATATATAATTTTTTATATATTCTTTTGATTATTTATACTTTTTTAATTATTTAGTATTTAATCATCATATCATTGATTAATCCGTTTGACCCAAACCACTAGCCCACCACTTAAAAAGGAAAATATTTTGATTTCTAGGCTGACATTAAATTTTGTATTGCATTTTCATCATTGATAAAAGTATTTCTTATGTATAAAACTTATTTTTATTCAATATAATGAATTTATAATATTAGGGATGAATCCAATATTTTATTTTTATAAACATATAGCATTAGGTATGTGTCCAAAATTTTCTCTATTTTTATTTTTGTGATTCTTTGTATTTTCTATTTTTAAAATTTTATATTGACTATGACATCATTAGATATTTTATTTCCAATTAAAAAATATATCTTAAATATAGGATTTAATGAAAGATTAGATATAAGATTTAATGAAAAAGAATAAAAAAATAGTTTTATTTCCAATTGGTTTTAATTTTATATTCCATTTTCATCATTAATAAAAACATTTCTTATTTATCATACTTATTATTGTTTAATATGTCAAACATACGATGTTAAAAATGTCCCCATTTTTAATTTCTATATTTTTTGCATTTTATCTATTTTGATTTTGAATTTTATTATTTAACTGTGGCAACATGAATCGACTAATTTGGCCCAAAATGGTTTAATTTCTTACCACCACCTAGATGAAAACACTATTTTTTCTAGGTAGATTTTGAAAGTATAAGTTTTTATGTTATTGGAATTATTAATTTATTATGTATGGATTTAATTAATAGAATTTAATGATGAGAAGAAACAAAAATGTTTTAAATTATATGATTTAATGAAGGTCAATGCAAGTTAATACCTTAAATGTTGAAATTAATGAGAGTGAATTGAATGCATTTAATATCTTAAAATTACTTTTTAACTCATTTAATATCAATAACCAATTACCCTATTTGCCCTCATTTTTTATCAATAAGTTCAAGTATGAAGGGGTAAATTTTGTCCTAAAAAAATTCCAGAAATATTCTAGAGGTTATTCGTGCTTTTCAAAGTAGTAGAGATATGTATAGAATCAACATATATGTGTAAAAATATCTAGATAAATATGATTAAACTGTTCTTTTAATTAACATGTGTTACCCAATTGTAACCTCTCCAGAGAGTTATTTTTTTACTTAATCTTTTACCTTTCTTTTTTCAACTTTTTTGCTTACTTTCTTTTGGCATATTTTTCTTATCTGTTGTGTCGTCACACTGCTAACAATGGTGCAAATTAGATATTTAGACTTAGTCAATTGATCTTGCTTTAATTAAGGGTCTTCAACGAAAGACTAGTTCTTCTTGGAAATGAGAAGCTCATAACCTGCTATCAAGAAAACAAGATAAGTAGCTCAAAATAAACAATTCAGTCACTTAGGAAAAGCCTACATACTTTTCAAATATTTTTTTTCTTATCCTAATCATTATTTTATCAAAAATTAACTTACTATCTTATCAAGTTCCAGCCCCATATAATTTCAATATCGCGGCTCAAACAACTATAGGTCAACCCAGTTACAATTAATAATTTACAAGAAAATGACCAACCCAAGGACTACAGTTACTCTTCTTATGTTTTACCCAAAAGAAGCTCAGATCCCTCAGGTCAAAGCCCACAACCAATGATAATGTAACCCATATGGGTCGAGGGTACCCAGAGGTCAGGGTGGGTTGGGTTGAGGGTACCCATTAGGGTTAGGGTGAGTTGGGTCAAAGTTAGTTTTATCTATACTTACCAAATCTCAAAAGAAATAAAAAAAATAACCACCATTCCACATTTCATTTTGAAATTAAAAATAAAATAGAATAGATTTTATTAACTGTTCACATACAATTTTAAACAAAAATACTTTTAAAAAACAAATTTATGGTCAAGATTGTCAGTCCTACGTGACAGCTGAAAAGGAAAGAAAAAAGAAACTTCTGCGGTGAATAACATTTGCTTGAGATATGATCACAATAGTCAATAGGTGGAGTGACGTGGTTTTAATATCCACCACCAAAGGGAGGAGCCAAGAATGAACTCGCTGAGAAGGGGTCGCCTCCTAAGGCATAACCCTTATGTGTTGTTCACTCAATCTATTGACTCAAGTCAATCTCAATGTTTATAAAAATTAATATACAAGAATTGAAGGATGGGATGGAGTTATATTTGAAATGGTCTGATCAAGAATTTTATAATCAATTCACTTTTGCTACATCAAAGGTTGTGAATTGTGATTCAGGGCTAAAACCGTGTCCATGTCCTATCAAAAGTGAAGTCAACTCAAACCACACTTATCCAACCGGAATGACCCTGGAATCTGGATCACCCCAACTGATCCAATCCGCTTTTTGAAATACCCTTTATCATCCAGAGTTCCAGACTGCCCATTGCCAAATCAAGGGCTTTACTTCATGCTTATGATATTTGTCTTGTCTGTGGAAAACATTAAGCAAAGATCTCTTTTATACTCCACTTATCCTGTTGTCCCATTCGGGTCAAGGCCCCCCAAAGACAATTAAACAAAAAAACAAATGAGAGGACCCAAGTCAAGTAATAAGTATGAACTTGCTTCGAAGCTTCCAAAAGATATATTAACAGACCTGTTTCTGATTTTAATTTGATTCTGGGGATGAGGTTTGTAACAATGGCATATTCTGGTTTCTGGATACTTGCTACATACCCATTTCTTTTTGTTATTAATATCATGCTTAATTACATTTCTCTTCTAATCATGGATGCTCTAAACTAAATTAGTCCCAAACTCAGAGTAATTAATGGGAACAAACTGGAATGTCTACAAAGCTTTTATCATAAATCTGAAAGCACTCTGTTTTTTTTTTTTTTTTTTTATGGCAAAGCACTCATTTTTGTACACCTTTCAGTTTGAACATATGCTAATTACCTAGTAAAGATCAGAAAATACTCAGAAGACCATATGGATAAAATTATTGTTACAGAAAACTCTCATATGGAGAGCGATTCGATTTGGACTTCAGAGTAGGAAAAAAAAAAGGAATGAAACGAAAACAGTTAGAAAGACATGACTTGTTAGACATAATTAAGAGACACCGATGCCCTTCAAGACTGAAGCTCAATTTTTCCCTTGATGATGGTGGCCGTTAAACTCTGATTACTTGTCGTTGAGCTTCCAGCCGAATTTCTTCTTTCATCTTCTTAATAAAATCGTCAAATTTTTTATTCAATTCCTCTGTACTCAACAAACCGTTTTCTCCTTCTCCATCATCTTCATCAATTTCTTCTAAATTCAAGAACCCATTGGATTCTTCCTCCTCTTGTTCTAACAAAAGTCGATTTCTGACTTGTTCTTGTTTCCCAACGACGTTCTTCTCTAAACACCCATCAATATTTTCCACCTCATCATCATCAATTTCGTCCTTCTCTATAACTGATGCCTCCAACTCCATCTCCGGTGCTTGAGGAATAGGGCGTAGATGATGGCCATTACTCTTGAACTGATCATAATGAAGATCGGTCATGAAAGGGGATGATGAACGGATGAGACCGGAGTTTGTGGCCAGGAAAACAAGGATACCGTTGCAGAGGAGGAACATGTATATCCGGTCAACCGTGTAGTTGAAGAGCTGGAAAGGCAATAAGTCGGAGGAGATAGAGTTGTTTAAGATAGATGTAAAGGATAAGAGAAAGGAAAAGATGGAGAGTGAGAAGAGGAATTGGAGAAACTTCTTTAAGAAAAAGGATGTGTTGATGAATTTGGTTGCGGCTCTAGATTGGTCTGCCATCTCCATACTAGCTAGACCAACAGAAGCTAAAGAGTTTAGGCCTTCAGAAGAAGATGGGCAGTGATTTGTGGAAGTGGAGCTGGTTTGCTGGGGAAGCATCGTGAGTTCCTTACTATATATAAAAGCATTTGGACTGCAAGTCTGGAACTGTGAAAATTTTTAAATTAGATGGGGACCCTAGCTATCGGATGATTGTAAGTGTAAATTATATGTAACTTTCCTTTTTCTGGATTAGGCAGTGGAGACTTCTTCCAAGTCAACAGAGAAGAAAGACCCAAGTTAAGTCTTGCAAATATATAGATAATTAAAAATACATGCGGATTCAGCATGGTGGGTGTTCACCTATTGCCCCACTTTCTACGTTTGATCATACCGCGTACCAGGCGGCCAAATGGTTCAACTGACCAGGTCAGTAATCACTATAAATCTATAATTTACTTAGTCAAGTTAACAGAGTTTCAGTGAGGCTTTGGGGGTGAAATGCAGAGAGAAAGTAAGTTTATTTCTTGATTTATATACTGTTAGTGGAGGCAAAACTGGCAAGTAATACAAAACAACCATCGATCTTGCATTGCATCCGCGTTGAATGATGGATTCTGTGTGGGGGATTGAGAGAGAGTATGGAATCCTTGGCATTATTGTAAACCCAGACTATGGAATCCTTGGCATTATATTTTTGTTTTCTTGGCATTTTTAGGGCTTTTAAGATGTTAGTCGAAATAATGGAGTTATGGAGGGGTTGTTCTTCATTGAATTGTCTGCAAATATAGGTTTATTTGCAAGCGAGCGAAACTCAGAACTGTGGGCAAGTCTCCCTCAAGTCTTTCAGGTAGACAGAGAGTCAATGTTGATGGCAAATTGACAGGTGTATATATGATGTTGATACTGAATCTGAAAGTGAAAATATTTTGAAAAGAAGTGGGTTTAAGATCCCACCAACCGGGAATTTATATATTTATAAAGGGATTAAGATGGACAGGTCATAGGTTCAATCGGGAATTCCCAAATTACAAAACAAAGCTTATCATTTGATCTGCACACGCTTAATTGTAACCATCAGCATTACAAAATGCTTAACTAAAATTTTCTACCAACTCTACAGGGGATAGGCACGACACCAGAGTTAAGGCAACTGGATCACATTCCCTTTCTATTCATTGCATTGCAAAGAAAGAAGTCGTGTTAGAGATAGACCTGGCAAAAAGTTGATTCAACCCGCGAATCCAACTTAACCCTTTATTACCTGAATGTGAGAATGACCCGACCCGACCTGACCCATTAAAAACTGGTTGGGTTGGATTGGGTCATAGGTCAACCTGCTGACCTGATTGATAGATCTAATTGAGACTATTTATGCATTGTTAGAAATTTTCACTCTTTAATTTTTTCTATTTAATCTTTACTCTTTATTGTTTACTCTTTGAATTGTTAAATGTTAAAGTTTTTTTTATATTTGGAATTTTTAAGGTTAATTCTTTTAATTTTGGCATTTTTCATGCATTTTTTCTTTATTTTTTTTAATTTCAGTTACTTTTTTTTATGACCCGACTTGACTCATGGGTCAATCTTAACCCAAACATTTAGAGTTAGGGTCTAGCATTTGATAATCCGACCCGAAATCAATCCGAAGTATCTTGACCCACCCAACCCAATTGCCAGGTCTATTAAAAACCTATGAGGGACTTCATCACTTCACCTTCACAATAAAGCATAGATAAATACAGGCCCGTCTGATTCTAGACCATTTGATCAAATAGACTCTGATACCATTTCAAGGAACCATTCAACCCCAAAATTTAAGCTATTAGGTGAGGTCACTCCATGGGTTTGTATTCCCCAACAAGCTAGTGATAATAAGCACAAGGCCACGAACCAATCTTTGCATATACTGATCCCCAAGACCCATTTAACTTTCAGAGTTTTGTTTAAGGTCTAACTCTGATTAGAGATGGCAACAGGGCAGGTTAGGGGAGGGGGTTTACTTATCTCCCAAAAACTTGCAACGGGTTGGATTTTCAAAATCCAAACCTTCCCTAGATATGAAAATACAAAACCCTTCCCGACCCTATCCTTCTTGCATTTGAGGGTGGGTGGGCCGGGTTGGTGGGTTGGATTTGGAATCCGTATTTAATTTTCTATTACTTCCTATTATATATAAGCAATAACATGAACAATTAGCAGAATTTTTAATTATTTGATTAAAACATGTAGAAAACATATAAATTATCAATTATCCTTTATATAAAATTCAAAATATTATTAAATTCAACACTTAATACATAAGTTATCATGTCTTCTAACAATATATAGGTGAGGGAAGATTGAATTTAGGCATTTAGCCTAATACACCCTACCTGTACCCTGCACCGGTTATAAAATCCCAAAACTTATACCCGCCCCAAAATCTTTTTTTCAAGAAAAAGAACACATCCCATTGAAGCGGGTACCAACCAAGAAATTGCCATGCCTACCATGCACCCCAATGGCAAACATTTTGCCGTCTATTTAACATATATCGTGGAAAAATAAACAGTTTGGACATATCCACTTCTGGACCATTCAGTTGAATGAATGGCCCTAAAAACAGACAAAGTAAATTCGAAATGTAAACCCATTAAATATCTAGCCATCAGAATGGAATGGTCAATCCAAAGTCTAGCGACCTCTTTGATCTTTGCCAATTAACCTTTTCAATCTTCATCATCAATTTTATATGTTTCTGTCAAGAGGGACCTCCTTTCCAACTTCTTAATCAATTTTGCTACTCGCTACTGAAACTCGACTACTCAATGGCGCTAACATGCATGAGAGACTGTCATTAGCAAGTAGTACCAGTTCATCTCATCAGGTCCACTCAGGAATTGCATATATATATATAAATAACATCAAAAGATCTTTGATCAATCAAAACCCATCCATAAATTTTTATAAATATACGATACCGATTGATTAATCACAAATTTTTTCTAATCAAATATGATATATTAAATTTAAAATTAAGGATGATGAGTTCATACGAGGCCATATGAAAGCCCCAATGGAAAATGCCCTTTTCTCATAAGGGTGCCCTTGAAATTGAGCCCATATTCTCACAGGACCATGCCCAACTTCCACTCCTCCATCTTCTCGCAGTCAGTTATCTTCTAAGAAGGGTAAGTAGAGCGACATTTGGAACCCCGATGTCCCTGTCCCTGTGTATGTTTCTCTCTGACCCAAGAGTCCCCTTGTATTCTTTGGGCTCCTGCAACTTCCATGGGAATCCTCTTCATTTGTATTTGCACTGTACATTTTTCAAACTGAACCTAAATCTTATGTCTATTTACCTGAAATGTTTTGGATTTATCGATATAAATTGGTATAAAATTGTTATTTGAGACTATTTATGATTAAAATAAACATATCATAAAAATGCATATATGAAAGGCTGTTTGTAAAAACATCAAATTGGTGCTTCTTGATTTATGGGGGTGAACGTCTAATCATTTTAGATGAAGTAACTCTCATATATGATACAACACACACACACACACACATATATATATATATATATATATATATATATATATATATA